AAGTGCCACCAAGCACGGATGCCTGACCTTATTTGGAACATGACCTTTGGCATAGTTACCTGGAGTAAAAACTACCCCCAGGTTTTTTCTACATGATAATTAGGCATTGCCCATAGTTGATGATAGGAGCCCACTGCCACATGTAAATAAAGCATACCATGAGTACCTATCAGCTGAAGCATTGGCTTCTGCCCCCACATTGTATTTTCCCCTAACATCCCACTAAATAAACGGAGCTGTTTCACTGAGTCTGGAGCTGTTTGTATCACTGAACCTGCCTCCCCAGAAGAGCTTTCTTCTGTCACTGCTCACTGGCCGTCCTGATCCCGTTTGTCACTTCTGCTCCCTTTGTCCTCGTGGACTGGTGCTCAACAACCCACGAGGAAAGGGAGAGACCCCACACAGGTGGAGCTTGTTCTGGGGTGCACCCTCCCCTCCCTGTCCTAGGGAAAACTCTGTGAGTCCAGTTCCAACCTGCCTTTCTCGCTGAGACTGTAAACTGCCCAGGGTTGGGTTCCCTCCATTGGTGCTATGACGCTAATGAGCACCATCCTCTAATAAAATGTTTTCTTCCTCTTTGGTAAAAAGGAAATAAAATTGAATTGGTAGCTTTTAAGAGGAGGCCTGGCCCTTCAGTGTCCCCCCCGCCCCGTGGAGTTTTCCTACCCTGGGTCTTAAGCAGCTGCTGACCCACAGGATGGCAGAGGCAGCTGCACCTGTACCAGTGTCCCTCCGTGCCCGTGTCCCTCCGTGCCCGTGTCCCTCCGTGCCCGTGTCCCTCCATGCCCTCCCTGCCTCCCACTGGCTCTCCCGGTATTTCAGAACCGCTCAGGTGACCTGCCAGCTGACACTTTGATTAGCTTCTATTTCTGCATCTTGAAAGTGCACCATGGCTCCGTGTTCATCGCCCACTTAGTATAATTGTTCCCTTGCTGTGGTTTGGGCACAGACCAAAGGGCTGGACCTGGCAGGGCTCGGCTCTGCCCTGCACTAGATGATGGACCCCACCGTCTACACCCAGCAAGGGTCAGGACC